CCGGCTCGGGCTCGCTCGCCGCTTCCGCCTCCTCCTCCGGCCCCGCCCCGGCCCCGCCCCCGCGGCCGCTCCCCTCCCAGGCCCGCCCCTCGCGGCCCCGCGCCTAGCGGCGGCACTGGCGCCTGGGCCGAGCGGCGCTGCCCGGCCCCCGCGGTGTCGCGGCCTGGCGGCGGAAGAGGCGTAACCAGTTAACGCTCCGCTGACTGACAGATCTCCTGGGCAGTCACGACGAAGCGGCCGGACTGGATTCCCGTGAGCCTCTGCTTCCCCGGCTGAGCCACCAATCAAGACGCTCTTCCCCTCGGGGAGTAAATTGGCTGCCATAAGTAAGAGCTCATTGGTCCGCACTGAAGGAAGTGGTTCCAGATCCTACTTCCGTTGGTTCTGGGAAATACCCTTTCGTCGGCTTTTGCCCCCACTCCAGAGAAAAGCGGGTACCTCTCGTCTGATGTAAGCTAGGTCTGTTGTGCAGAAAATCTTGATTGGCAGGAGAATAAGCCAATCAGCCTTCCCTAAAAGTCCCCCGCCCCCTCTCTACTCAACCTTCAATCCGGAGACAGAAGCAGGCTGGTCTGAGTTCGAGGTCAGCTTGGTCTACTTCGCGAGCTCCAGCTGAGCCAAGGTTATATTGAAGGGCTTGTCTCAAAACAAAACAAATTTGCAGAGCCCAGAACATCTGGTGACTCACATAGCACAAGAGTGCGTGACACCCTCGTTATTCCTTAATCTTGTGGACTAGCACAAAGCAGGCAAATTGCTGTGAGTTAACTTGAAGAAAACTAATGATTTTCTAAAAATAACAAAAACTCGGGAGGTTATGGTTCAGGTGACAAGACAAAGAAGAAACACAGATACCCGCAGCAAAAGACAAAGACTACACCAGGCATAGAGACTTCCTATCCGTGTCCAAGTGCTTCCTTTTACTTCCTACTGGAAGTCTTCTGTGTCTGGGTATCCCTAAGAAGAAGCTTCGAGAATAATTCGTCCCTCCAAGCCGGCCCTTGATTATTTCTTTCCCACAAAATATTGTTTCCAAAGAATTGGATTTGAGTAGTCAGCAGATGGATGTGGGTCCAGAGACGTGGATTAGAAGGGTCTAGTATTAACTGTTGAAAAAATATGGGTGTGTGTGTAATTTTCTGATTGTTGGGATGAGTGTGATTGTGCTATCATCTGTCTCTTTAATCAACCTGTGCACTAGAGTACTCACACACACACAGAAGCACAGCCTCTGAAAGCTAGCATTTGGCAACATCTAAGGTTAGGGCCGAGGGTGATGGGGCATGCTTTTCTTCCCAGTACACTGGAGACCCAGGCAGGAGGGATCTCTGTGTTTATGGCAGCCGGGTCTTAACGGTTGAGATCTAGGCCTGCCAAGACCCTGTCTTAAAACAGTAAGGACTTTCAGGTTAAGTCAGCTTACAGCTCTACTGAAAGACCTGGAGACAGAAATTAGTGGAACTAGATTTATTCAAGACCGTACCCAAAGAAACTGAGAGGCTTTTCTCTGTCAAACAATTGTCTTGTCTTTGGAAACAGGGTGAGATGGTGCAAGCCTGTTGTCTTAGTGGCTTTCTATTGTCATGGAGAGACAATATGACCGTGGCAACTTGTATGAAGGCCTTCTCTGTGTAGCCCTGGCTGTCCTGGAACTCACTCTGTAGACCAGGCTGGCCTTGAACTCAGAGATCCACCTGCCTCTGCCTCCCAAGTGCTAAGATTAAAGGCATGTTCCAGTTAAAGGAAAACATTTCATTGAGGCTAGCTTACAGTTTCAGAGGTTGTCTGTTTTATCATGTCTGTGGAGAAGCATGACAACATGCAGGCAGGCATGGTGCTGGAAAAGGCACTGAGAGTTCTACATCTTGATCCTCAGGCAGCAGGGAGAGACTGTGTGCCACACTGGGTGTAGCTTGAGTACATAAAATCTCAAAGCTCACTCCCACAGTGAGACTTCCTCCAAAAAGCCCACACCTGCACCAACAAGGCCACAGCTCCTAATAGTGCCATTCTCTGTGGACTAAGCATTTAAGTGTGTGTGCACGGACACACACATACACACACTCGAGTCTATGGGGCTATTCTTATTCGAACTATCAGACATGTAATCCTGGCACTAGGGAGGTAACACAGGAGAAATAAAGTTTGAACTTTGAGGCCAACCTGAGCTATAGAGGGAGTTAAAAGTTCACAGTATCCTGGCTCAAAAAAAAAAAACTGTGTGTGCACAGGGGTGGGTTTTGGGATTGTAGAGATGGCTCAATGGTTAAGAGCATTTGCTGCTTTCCCATAGAAGTTGAGTTTTGTTCCTAGAACCCACACCAGGTAGTTCATAACTGTAACTCAGCTACAGAGGCTCCAGCGCCCTCTTCTGACCTTTGTAGGCATCTGCACATATTCATACTCAGACGTTCACATAATCAAAAAATTTAAATCCTTTTTTTTTAAAAAAAGAAAGAAAGAAACGTGCTTTAAGGTTATTCTTGTCCTTTCAAAAATAAAACTCCACCTGGGGGTGGGATCAGGACTGTGAGGGCTTTGATGGGACATTGTTGGTTACTAAAGCAACAAGTGGGAAATCCCAGGCTGGGTAGAGTATTCTCTATAACACCGTATCTCTCCTGAGACACGGCCTTCTAAAGCTGTACCTGCATTCTCTCTTCAGACAAGTGCATTATTTTTCTGCAAGTCAATTCTTGTGAGCAGGGGAGTGGGGGTGCTTATCAAAGCCTCTCTTGAGAATTGAGAGCATCCTGTGAAAAGGATGGGTCATTAGAAGATTAGGGAGAGGGTTAGGGAAGGAGACAGTTGCAGGACCAAGTAATGTCTAACCCAGAAGTTGGGAAAATAACACCTTGATTCTTGTTTTACAGCTAGCCCCCGAGGGTAGACCAGACGCTTAGAAAATGCTTTTGTTGAAGGATGCTGATGAGAGAGTGAGAGTGAGCAAGAGAATGAGAGACAGTGAGGGGGAGGGGAGGGAGTTAGGGAGGGAGAATATTTGTGCCTTTCCCTCTGTCTTCCAACAGTGATTTTTTTACTATAGCTTCCTATAGGAAGGATGGGAGTCTCGATCATGAGGCCAGTGATGGTTGGGACAGCACTCTGGCTGGGACTGATTACCTATAAACACCTCTCACCTTCTAGTAACCTCTCTCATCACCCCGACGATGGAGAGGGTTGGGTTTACTAGAACGTTTCATTTTGTCCTCTTCCCAACGTGGACACATTGCCTGTATCTCTGCTTCTATTGCTTGTCTACTTTTTTTATATATAATTTTATTTTTTGAGATAATAATCGAATCATCCCCCTTTCCCTCCCCACAAACGCTTCCCTATGCCCTGTTCTGCTCTTTTTCAAATTCATGACCTTTTCCATTGTTGTTACATGCACATCTGTATGTGTGCAAGCACATGTACACTCATAAATAGATTAAAAAATAACCAACCTGCTCGTTCTGTATAATGTTACTTGTATGCATGTTTTCAGGTCTGACCGTTTGGATAACCAGTTGGTGTGCTCTCTTCTGGGGAAGATTATTTCTCTCGTTCTCAGCATTCCTTAGTTATCTGTAGTTCTCTGTACAGGACTGAGGTCGCTTGGTCTTTCCCCTGTCCATGTTAGCATGTCTGTCAGTGCTGTCCTTGTTCAGCTCATGGTTAGGCAGTCATGCTGCTGAGACACTGTGGGTGTAGCTTCCGACCTTGTAATCCTTTGGCCCTTCTAATCCCAGTCCCATCTCCTGAAATGCTCCCTGAGCCTTAGGTGCAGGAGTCATCTCGAATGTCTCCATTGGGAATGGGATCTACAGTTCTGCATTTTGGTGTGTTGTGGTTTTTTTGTCATGGTTTCTGTCTGCAAAAGAGAGGTTTCCTTGATGAGGGGTGAGAACTATAGTTATCCGAGTATAAGGACAAACATTTGGAATGCAGCTCAGTGCTTCGCTGGTTTAGTAAAGTGGTGGGTGTGGGTTCTCCTCAAGATCGATGACTTTACCAGCAGTGGGTAGTTGGCTACATCTCTGGTGGAAGCCATGATTTCTTTCTAGCATAGCATGTCTTAAATCTGAGTAGAGAGCTACTGGTTACCAGCAAGGTATGTGCGCACAACTGTACTGTAGTGAGAGTTTTTGGTTCCTTTAGAAACCCGGTTATGTTACATGTGTATGTTTTCATTTTCCTCCCAGGTGTGGGAGATAGGGCTACTTCAGATTTTGCACAGCCATTAACTACGATTGTCTCCTGCTCTAGGGAAGCATGAGTTTGCCAGCTGCAGATAGTTTAATTCTGGGAACTCTGGAGAGGGCACAAATGCTACAGGCCTGAGAGACTTTGTGGTGGATGCCGTCCCCTGCTGCATTTGCTATTGCTGAACTGCTGGATAGTCTGACAATGAAGATGGGACTTGCCCCAAGGAACCCGATGACCCTGCTCAGCAGGAAGTAGCCTATAGAGGCTATGCTCCCTTTCCTTCCTTCCTTCCTTCCTTCCTTCCTTCCTTCCTTCCTTCCTTCTTTCTTTCTTTCTCTTCTACCTAGTGTTGGGGGGTTGGAGGGTATTAGGGTGGAATGCGGGT